TTATATCATAAATATTACTAATTGATATGTGTGACACTTAATGCTAGAGGTTTGGAACCGGTTTGGGTACAATCGATTTAAAACTGGTTCCTATTTTCCATATTAATATTTGATAAACTGGATATAATAAAACCGGTTGAATCGGTTTTATTATTATGCATACAATCAAAATTTATGTAAATAGACTGTGCTAAAGCATTTGTCAAATTCTCCGTCACCATTTTCAAACAAAAAAAAAATACTAAAATGTATGTATATGATATGTATTTTTTGAATTATATATATTATTAATGTATATATAATTTATATATGTGAGATCGTGTCCAAGTTTCAATGATGATTATTTATTTATTTAATGTTTGTACTAATACAATAATACAATTTATTTTATACTAAATTGTAACAACAATTTCCGCAAATTATGTCTCCGAACAAATCAATGAAATTCGAACCAAATTCAAATTCGAATCAATTCGAATCACCTAATTTTTTGATTCAAAGCAGTTCGAAGCAAATTGAATCGAATTCGAACCGATTCGAATATATAATTTGATTCGATTTGATTCGATTTGATTTGAACTGATTCGAATATATAGCAATCATTATCATTCATTAGTTATATTTATTATTTAGATTTTTTAATGGGCTGAAGTTTTTTTAAAATAAAGTAGATTGATTTAGTAGGTACTTCTTACATGTATTGGGAGAAACTACCTTTTTTCAAAAATAGTTTCGGCTACCATCATTAAATAATATCCTTTATCAACTAAAAAATTTTTAAATTTAAAAATATACACACAATCTTGGTTTAACAGATAGTTTGGGTAATTAGAAATTTTTTTCCAAAAATCCGTTATTATTATATTAATACAGTCAAACCTTCTCACAGTGGACTGTAATAATAATGATAATTAAATTCTTGTCATAACGGATTTTTAAAATTTTTGCTTCACATATAAAAATCTGTTGTGGCAAGACTATAATCAGCAATCTTGTCACAACGGATTTTAAATAAAAATTTCTTATGTGTCCCGTTCATCTGCTGTGACAAGGTTTAACTGTATCAAGAAATCCGTTATTTTGAGAAGAATTTTATTATTAAACCCTCAATCCATTAGTATCCATTAAATCAAGGTACACATACACTATATTGAGATTCACTGTGTAATATAAATTTAATATAAAACTAGGAATCCGGTTTGATTCGAATCGAATCACTCTAAAATTCAATTCGATTCAATTCATTCGGAGCCTTAGTTAAAGATTCAATTATCTAGTTCTCCAGTTTCTAAAAACTCTTGATTTAATCCAATCAAAGTATTCCTTAAAAATAAACAAACCTTTCTTTTGAAAATAATCAAAGAAATATTACTTTCTTGATAATTCCCGTGAGTTAATTATTTTATTGGTTTATTACACTTATCAAATTGAACTGGTTTGAATTCTTGAAATCTATTTCTGTGTTGATTTTCTTTCGTGCAATTTTTGTTTTCGTTTGATATATAGGGCGTCCTCAGAAATTAAAAATTTGATTTGATTTAGATTAGATTAACTGACCTGCCCTCATAAATTTGTCCATAAACCAGAGTAGGGAACATATCACTATTTCTCATGAACGTGCATTTAGAGAGGGTTTACATGGTGAATGCATTTAGAGAGGGTGCACTTAGAGGGGGTTGACTGTATGTATAATTCTAATTTTTATAAATAAACATATATATATAAACGAAACAAATATATACAGTATATAATAAAAAATATACAAAAATATATATAATAATAAATATATATATAATAAAAAATGATCATAAATTGAAAAAAAGCTTTTTTATTACAAAAACTATATAATTTTTAAACCTCAAAAAAAAAAAAAAAAATAAAATTAATAAAATTAATCATTATCTGAAAAAAAAAACTATTTATATTCAAAAAAAATGAATCTTTCACTTATTTTTTGATTTTTTTTTATAATGATTTTTGCCAATCCCTAAGAATAATTTTTTTAACCTTTTGATTTCTATCTACTGTTTATTTTTAATAAAGAAAATTCATTACAAATTTAATAATATAATGATAGTATGATTACGAATGAATACAATATTAAAAAACACACTTTAGTGAAAGTGAAATTATATGTTCAAACCAAGTCACATTTTTGAAGATATTTTTTGTCTATTGAGATACTGTTTGTTGTAGAAGGAATTTCATTTAAAACAACTGTTATATAAACAATCTTATTTGTTGGTCCAATTATATAATTACATCTTCTGGATTTTTTACGGAACATTTGCTATAATGATATATTCATTTCTATTATTTCTATTACAAAATTTAATTTTTTATAAAGTTAATGTAGAGAATGTTACTTGGTTTTATATAATAATACCAATAATACCCATTATCAAAAACACCATGATTTTTATTATCCTCAAAAAATTATTTCCCGAATTCAAACTTCGAGATGTAATAAATGTGGTTATTGTTTATTTGTTTGTTTGTTATCTGTTTTAAAATGCAACAGAAATTAAAATTTTTTTAAATTAATTATTGCAGCTGAGTCATGTATCACACATACATATGCTTTTTTTTTTTTAAATAAAAAAAAATAAGATCATCATAAAAATAAAATGCACGCCAATCTTAATTCCACCCAAAACGAAAATGATGTTTTTGTAAAACTAATATAAAGCTAATATACATATATATAAGAAAGGATCGTGGTTTTTTATGCAAACAATTTCCTTATTTGTATTTCAAGATTGACAAGGTTTTTTGTAATAAACTGAACACAGACTTTTCATCCATTCAATAATTTCTTTAAATTTAAAAAAAATTTAACTTTAAATTTAACTTTAATTAACTTTAATTTTATCCTCTAAGACTTACAAATCAAATTTTAAATTTTTTTTAAAAAATAACGTTTTTTTGCAGAATAGGGCTCTTGACTGTAATCCTACTCCTATTTGAATATTTGTAAATCTAAAATTTCAAATTTCAAATATGAATATTTTAACGTTAACGTAAGAAATCAACGAAATCCATCCAGTGCAACGTTCAGGGGTTTAATTGTTGATTTTTTTGGGTATAAAAGGAATTTGCAGTTTCACGAAGTTTGTTGCGTTGTGATTATACTCTCTATGATCATGATATGATCATGACGGGAAGGGAAAAGAGAAGTCAACATGGCATGTTGATGTTGATGTCGAGGGGATGTTGAAAATCAAACTTTTGTTAAACTTGATTTTTGGGAGGGAATTTTCTATTTTTGAGAGATGTTAATGTTCAAATGTTCATTTTTTTTTGACTTGCAGATCAATTTATTTTCTTTCCAAGGTCGTAAAACCTTTTTGCTTTCAATGACACTTGATAATCTTCCGTTTTTTCTCTTGCTAGTCTTTTAACTTGTGCTTGATTTTCTCTGCTATCTTCTTTCATGTTGAAACCAACATGAATTTAATAATAATAATTATTATTTACAAGAATAAAGAAAGAATCAATTTTTTTTTGTCATGTCTATTATACCAAGGTAAAATCATTATATTTTAAAGAACTATTACCTTTTTGACCAAATTAATGAAAGAGATGTTAACAAATTGTTTTTTTTTTGATCAATTATCTTAGCAAACAATAAAGCACTACTTTTTCGGTTAACAAAACTATTGATTTCTTTGATAAATGAAGAACTATTACTTTCCGATTAATTTAATGAACTGTTGCTTTTTCGATTAATTAATAAAATAAATATTATGTCAATACTCGTGTTATTGTGGCTTTTAAAAGATGAACCTAATTGTTATTCTAATGTTAAATTGGGAAGGTGCAATGTTTAAATATATATTAAAAGGAAAGTATTGTCGTCTAACTCTAATTATTTATTACGTTTACGTTCGTTATCTTTATCATCTTTACTATTGTTTGTTTCAAAACACATATATTGTTATATTTTATAACTATCACAAATATCACTATCATTATCATCGCCATCTTATTTTCTAAATTATTACCAAAAATAACTTCAATTTTTATCGCCTTACATTTTGGTTCCTCAGGCAGGCCTATCAACGGAACCGCTACATACAGGAGTGGTAAAAGAAATCAAATTTATAGAGACATCATTTTCAAAGGATTTCCCATCAGTAATAAACCTGACTATTCCCAGCTAAAGGTCTCTAGAGCAGCCTTAGAAGAATATAAAAAATTGGAAGTTGTGAATAACAATGGGCTGCAATCGTTGCAATCATTATAAATAATAACACCAACAACAATAATAACAAATGTTATAAATAATAATACTGACAACAGCAACAATAATAATGGTCGCTTGTTTCCCCTCCTTGATGATTGTGTTTCAAAACAAATGGCGATCACAAAAATATCACATATCTTAACAATTACACAACATAGTTGAATGAATTGGATTCATTTGGAAGCTTTATCATTTACTTTATTAAATAATAAAAAATAAACATGAAATGCTATTGCCAATTTTCTCTAAAGCTAATTCATATATTAACTTCACATTACCTTTTTAGTAAAACTTTATTAACAAAAGTTATTAAAAGCACATTGTTCAATAATTTTAATCCCAGAGAGTATATATCCAAAGTCTCGTTAAGTTTCGCAATTTTACAAGAAGTTTTATTCGTTCAAACCTTAATTGTGGCCGTGATTTTTTTTTGCCATTTGATGTGCTGTGTAACCTAACTCTACACTTAATGTTGAAATTCGCGTACGTGAAATTCAAATTAGCCAATCAGAATTTTGTATCCAAACTTTAATCAAATTGAAGTTCGATTACGCCTTAACATAAAACTAGTCTAATTATCTGCAGTTGATTTTAGGTTTGGTTGGCGTGTTCCGATACCGCAGATTGAATTTCGAACACTGCTCATGTATGCATATTAATAGTAATATATATATTCGAATATTTTTTTCCCAACCCATTCTTTCGCTCAAACTCTCTCAAAACATAATATATCAAAATTACTCTTATAACGGAAATGGATACTGGTTCATTTGAAATTATTATTACTATTTGGGCATTTGTATCACTAATAATAGGTGTAGTAAAGAAATTTGACCAATACTGTACCACGAATGATAATGTAACTGGAACATATACTATATATAATCATGAAGATAGTTGTGACCTTTGCTGCCCTTGTCAGATGTTAGATATAATAACTGCTGGCATGTCAAGGAGTGATGATACTGTCCTCTCCATTGTCTCAGCAGATTGGAGTTTTTTTTCTGAAACTATAAATAATGAGGAATTAGATAATGCGAATAATTTCGCAGAGAGATTGGAGATATTGTCGCAAGTGAGTAAAAAATATGACAAAGTTTTTCGAATAATAAAAGCTACTATTGGGTGTTTCGCTATTCCTGTATTGGTCAGCAGTTTTGAGAAAGGTCTTGATAATGAAGCAATAATGACAAGAGTTTTTACCTTTGGTGCACCAATACTTCAAGAGCTTGGCATCAATTTATTGGCATTAATTTTATACACAGTTATGATTCCGATGATCACTTTTCAAATCTCTCGGACGATTGCAAAGTACACATATAGTTTCATTTTAATGTTTTATCTTTTTTGGGGTTTGGGTATAGCTTGCTTGTGCTATTTTTATGCAAGCAAGTTGGAAGACAAAATACAAAAAGTTTTCATAATATCAATAATTACAATTCGAATTTTTGACCCACCAGTAAGTCTAAAATGCTTTGTTTAGACATAGGTACTGCATTTCTTTCTGCAATTAACCTATGGTATGCAATACAGAATATGATTTGGGCAATAAAAGGAGTAAATACCTTAGAACCTGGGGTTCCATTTTGGAAACCATTTTGATTATAGAAGTTTTTATTATCATTATAGATAGACATCATAATAAAGATTTTTTTGATTAAATCCTTGTATTAGAACTTTACAATTTTGAATTCCTAAAGTCTCCATTATTTAGTTGGCTTGGTCTAAAGACCTCCTAAATTTTTAAAAGCATAGAAGTCACTTTCTGTCCTACCTTTTAAAAAAATAGCATTATTAGTTGATAGAATAGGTCTTTAGTTTTAATTAATAACAAGATATTCTCAAAAAAATTATTTGTTGTAAAGTTCTATTCTTTTTAAAACATTAAAACATGTACTTTATTATTATTATGCTCATGAGGAATTTGTCCGCTATGATCATTTCTAAATTTAGACTAGCCCTCGAACATCGTTTCTAAATTTGACAGTAAAAAAACTAAAATCACATGAAGTCCTATTTTTTCACGATTTTGGAATTACAAAATTGCTATTTTTTGAAATTTGGATACATGGCGCAGCAATAGGAGGTCTTTAGACCGTGCCAACCATACCAGTTGATCTATTCATTGTAGACAACTGGTAACATAAGCTTTCCCCATAAGTTGGCACTAGCTAAAGACATCTTTTCCATTAAGCATTTTGTCGATGGTTTCCAACTGGTCCCTTCTGAAATTTTCTATCATGTAAAATATTTTTACTTCTATTAACCATTCATTATCATTATCATTACTAAGATCTTCTTCATCCTCGCTATAAACAAGTTCATAAAAATAAACTTCTCTTTCAACAATACTTACATGATGGAATTTGTCAATTGGCTTGTTTGCCTTTTCTTTTTCTTACATCTATTGGTGCCATTTTTGACATTTTTGAGGATAAAATAAAATAAAAGCGTTAATATATTTATTTTTTTTTTCGTACCACATTTTTTTGGGAATTGAATTCATTAATGAAGTGATCAAAGATTTATATTTTTGCATCAATGCTTTTTTTTTTTACACAATAGTCTAAATACCTTACCTTGTATGTATAGACCTAGAGCAAAATTTATTGTCATGTCATCTACATTATATTAGTAATAGGTAATTACACAAGATTATCATGATGATAACAAGCAAGTGGTTGGTGGATTTGCTTTTTGTAATTGTTATTAACATTAAACAATGTTAATAAATAATTATAAGAAATGTCAGAGGTGAAAAAGGCAACACGACTATTTAAAATATCTTCTTTTGGAAATTTGCACATACTTGGACAATTTGGAAACATTAAAAACATTAGGCAACTTGATATGCAATGTTTGATTGTTGGATGGAAACTTATAGATGCTGAAGTGTATTACTTGGGGCTCAAATATTGTAATCATTCTCTTATTCCTCATGCAGATGAGGCTAATCTGAATTGTTCCTCTGATGATATGATGACGCAATTAAATTACAGAGGAGGTGGTGTGGCTCTGAAGTTGCATGAAGTTGTATTATTTTCGGGATTTTGGAAGTGATTTTAAAGGAACTTTGCATACGATCGAGAAGCACAACATACAAATACACACATATGTACAGAATACACAGCACACATTATATGCTCACACATGCACAAAAAAAGGGAGTCAAATAGAGACTTGGCTACTAAGAATTCTTCCACTACCATTGTTTTACACGCACGACTCATGTTTTTGGTGGTCAGTATGCAACCCTGACTTTGAAATAATTTTCTTTTCTCAAGCGTCAAGTACAGCAAATACGACCAACGCCAATGCATAATGCTCCTTCCCGTTCTGTAAACATCAAAGCATCCAGATCTGGGTTTCCAAATAAGATCGGGAGTTTGGCATTGTTCGATTTGACAAAACTGCAATTAGTCTCATGGAAAGCCTTTGAAGACGATGTTTGTTGTTTGGTACAGACAGATACATTTATACTAAAATAAACAGCAATTCTACTTATAAAATAATAAAACTATATAACCTTTATTCTTATACCTTATTTACATATAAATAAATATTTGATTTCATAAATAAATTATCATTTTAAATAAAATAAACAGGATTTTATATTTTTAAATATACAGTAGCCCAAAGATCATACAACAACAAAATTATTGAATGTGCCAAATTTCAAAATGAAAATAAAATTCCAAAGATATGATAATTGTGAGAAGTTATTACCTTTATATAATATCATTAATAATTAATTATCTATAATTTCATTTCTCAAAACAAAATTTAATACATAACAAGATATTGCAGAAACAGGAGCAGTGCGCCATCCTCAAGAACAGTCACCTGGTATCACCAAGCCTACTTTGTTA